ACACACACACACACACACACACACACACACACAAACACACACACACACACATTATACATATACATGTACACATGCTCACACATACACACATAGATACACACATACTTTCTAACTTACTTTTCCTTTTTCCTTCCTCTGGTATCCTTAGAATGTCGAGGGGAGGTGCTGGTTTCGGTCTTGTGCTAGGTGTGTAGCGTCTGTGATAGATATGGTATGTTGTTCTAAGACCTTTGTAACCCCATCCAGCCAGGTCTTTCTTGGTCTTCCTCTTGATCTGAAGCCGGATCCCCGGATGTGGTGAGCTCTAGCCGCTAGTTGTGTCTGGGGCATTCTGCTTAGATGTCCGAACCATAACTTGACCCTTTTGATGCTCTGTGAAGTTTATTACTAGTAGTATTCCAGTTTGTAGACGTATTGTCTCGTTCCTTGTGCGGTCTCTTCTGGTGACATTGATTTTTTTTGCGACACCTCATTTCGCATGCATTGTTTTTTCTTTCTTGTGCCTTGTTTAGAGACCATGTTTGGCACTGGTATGGTAAGGTTCGTATGAAGATGCTATTTTTGATGAGATGGGATTTCACTTCGGTTGGGATGTTCTTGTGATTGAGCAGGGATGCTAGCTGGTAGGTCACTGTATTTGTCTTCATGGTTCATGTTCTATTTATTTATTTTTTTTTGGGGGGTCGGTCCATACGCCCATCTGGAGTGAATATGCTTCCCAAATAGATAAATCCCTCTATTTGTTGGAGTTGTGTTCCGTAAATAACAATGTTGAGTTTCCCTGGGTTTCTGTAGACCTTCATAACTTCTGTTTTTGGATAGGAAATTTTCATGTTTATGTGTTTTCATTCCTCGTTTAGTTTAGTGGTGTGATTTTGCAATTATTTTTCATCTGCATTAAATATACTCTGGCCATCAGCAAATAGAAGCTCGTTCAGTTCAGTGATGTTGTCGTTTGCTGCTTTCGTGATCTTATCAATGTAAGTGATGAAGAAAAGCGGAGAGAGAACACGCCCTTGTCTCACCCCAGACCTGATGGGGAACCAGTCCGATAGTCCTTATACACACAAAATATACATAATACGCATGCACAAAAATGATAAACACTTGTATAAATACACAAACATACACACGTATATTTTGCTTTTGTTGGACACATGAATACCTGAGTAAAAACACCTTTCTCAAAATCACTAATGAAAAACTTTCTATGAAGCATTGGAAAGAGGTATATTATTGTTATACTTACCTCGTCCTAATTGTAATAAATAGTTACTGTCGGAGAACAGCGTTGATCCGTGTTCAGTTCAAGCAGTCCAGCGCCACGAGCACCAAACCACGAGTTCTTCTTGTTCGTCCTTCGTATATA